AGCAGGATCTGTGGGCTCCAGGGGTGATGTGAGAAACCTCAGAAGCCTCCCTTGTCCGTGTTTCCCTCTTCTGTCCCGGTGCTCCATTCCTTCCTAAGGCCTTGTCACCCGGACCAGAGCAGTGAATCTGGAACCTCTTCCAAATGGAGACCCGGAGGCTGCAACAAGGAGGGTCTTGGCCTTGGTCCCCAGACTAGTGGTCAGTGCTCTGCCACGTTCTGCGTACCCAGGTCCTCAGCCCCCCAAGTCCCCAGTCTGTCCCCTGCTCCGAAGGACCTCGAGGGAGTCCAAAGCATTTTCCCAGGAGTGGGAGCACAGGGGGTCGGGGATGGAGATCCAAGGCCAACAGGCTCTCCCACAAGCCTGTGGGACCCTAGGGACACTGCATCTCTACAGCCCAAGTGACAGAAGAGTAAGCTGAGGCCTTTGTGCTGGAGCCCCTCTGGACTTGGGGGTGGGTATCTCTTCCTGCTTCCAAGTGCCCAGGCTGGTGATGGACACCGGAACCCAGACCCTGTCCTCTCCCAGTGCCCTGGCAACCGCCCTGGGCCCCTTGGGGACCCCTGACCCTCAGCCTGGCCTGTCTCCCCTCCCCATGCTATGGATCTGGGTCCTTGCCAGGAGTCTTGATGCCCTGCCCCATGGCCCAGCTGTGTGCAACCTGTTTCTTCTTTCCCCCTTGTCACCCACCTCGCTCCCAGGGTGTCCTCCCCTTTTGACCCCCATCTGGGCAGTCAGAGTGGTGTGGGTGGGGGGGTGGGTGTGTGTGTGGGGCTGGGTGTGCAGGTGCACGTGCCTCTACGTGCCTGGGGATGCCAAGGTCATGTCCCCACATGGGACGGGGTGGGTAGCTCTTCCCGAGGATCTGAGGGACTCTCACCCCCAAAGCAAACCTCATGGGAGGGTTTGGACTGGCCTAGGATTGGGGAGCAGCTCCTTGGACTCTGCACCCCTTATTTGTCCTGGGCCAGTCCCTGCCTCTCTTGACCCAGGTTCCCAACTGTCCCTGAGGGTTGGACATGGAAAGGCTTGAACGTGGCTGCTCCTCCAGGGGTAGGTGGGGGACAGGTGCACCAGGCACGCAGGCTTCCCCACGGAGAGGGCCAGCCAGGTGTGTCATGGCCAGGTGTGCAGAGACGACCTGCCCACAGCTCCTGTACCATGACCCAGCCCTGCGGCAGATGTGCACGAGACCCATGGCTCCGCACCTGACCGGTCCCCCGCGTTCCCTCACCACCTCGCAGACAAGGGCTCTTCTTCGTCCTAGGGCCCGTCATCCTTCGGACAATGAGAGCAGAGGGATCCATATGTAGAGGAGGCCGGCAGGGCGTCCCACGGAACGTCGTGTGCCCATCTCTGCTTTGTCGTCTAGGCTTAGCGGCGGACCCCCACCTAGAAAGAGGCCCGCGGGGCAGGGACATTTGTCTGCCCTGTTCCCTGAAGTATGGAAAATGTCTAGAAGGGGCTTCCTGTCCATGTGTGGAGTCGATGAAGCCCAGCCAGCACCTTTCAGATGTCTGAGTGGCTCTGGGGCCCCTCTGCCAGCCCCCAGGGATCCCTGCTCTGGCTCCACCCAGGATGGGAGTCCCAGATGGAATCTGAAACCTCCTCACAGCCAGGAATGCGGCTTTGCCTGGGACACAGGACACCGAGCCTTGGGCCAGAGCGCTCCTTCACGGTGGAGAGGAACCGCCTCAGCCCCAGGCCACCCTCCCTGTGGGCCGGCCACAGGGTCGGGGAGCGGTCCCAACAGGCCCGACGGCAACCCCGTGTGTGGGGCCTGGCCTCGTGGCACGCAGGGTCCCCAGGAGACACCTGAGGTTCGGAGAGGGGACGTGCCAGGCCCGAGACACACAGCCCACAGGTGAGGGGGGCCTCCGGGCGGGACGGGGGGCCCTGCTCACCTTGGTGAGCAGCAGGTGTGGGAAGGGCTGGGGAGGCGTTCCTCTGGGAGGTGCTCCGGGAGAGGGGCCACAGGAGAGGGCCTGGCCCGGCTCCACCAGCTTCCTCAGGCTGTCAGCACGGACCGCCCACAGCCTCTGGCTCGCCCCCAGCGGCAGGGCCCACTCAGGTTCACGTTGGGGCTGATCTGTGGTAAAGGAGGGACAATTCACAACACAGAAATTGCAAAACTATGCCTGTCCATGTCCCGAAGTGCAACAGAATATCCAAATTGGTTCGGAGCTCCAAGCAGGCAAGTGGGCCAATGGATGGAACCCATGGACAGATGGATGGACAGACAGGTGAAGGCCAATGGGTGGAGAGAGAGGGACAAACAAAGTGAGAGATGATGACAGATGAACAGACAGGCACTACTGAATGGATGGACGCAGAGACAGAAAGGATGGGAATAGCAGAGAGATGAATGGACGGAGGCTAAAGAACAGACAGGAGACTAGAGATGAAGGACAGAGGGACAGCGTTAAAAGGAGCCAGGAAGAGACAAGCCAGGCTGCCTGCAGCCCTCCTTGGCCCGAAGCCGAGGTGCCGCATCAGCAAGTGGGGGCAGATAGCCTGTAAGTCCTCTCGGCACGCTACACCCCTGCCCCGAAACCGCAGTCTCCTCTCTGGTAAAATCCAGAAAATCGTCCCAGACACCCCTAGTGCCTGTGCAGGACTGAAGGAGCCCACATGCACTTGGACTTGGCCCCTTACCGGGGGCACCCTCTGTCTGGACACCTGGGACCTTCTCTCACTTTACAAGGCCAGGGGTGGGTGAGCAAAGGGCTACCAGAGGCAGGAGGAGTCATTCCAGGAGTGGAGGAACCTCCCTTGGGTTCGCTATAAGCTTCACTGACAAATTCATCCTGTAGCTTCCCAAGCAAAAGGCTCATAAAATGTCATCAATGTTCATAACGGTTCATAAAAATGATCAGTTGAGCAGGCAACTTCAAAATGAGGTAGAAATAAGTTTAAAGATGTTTTCACTGTAATTCGGCTCTAGGACCCAGATATTTTCAGAGACGTAAATAATAATACATATGGCACAGAACCAGGCTGGGAGTGGGGAGGACAGGCTCCCACCTTGGGGGCTGGCCCCTCAGCTTTGGCTGAGGAAGCTGGGCCTGTGCTGGGTGCCTACTGTCTCCTAGGCTGGGCCCTTCCTGTACCCTCCCTGGAAGCCCTGTGGTAGGACTTGACCCCACCGACCAGAAGCCACAGCCTGGGCTCCATCCACAGACTGACCATCCTTTGCTCATCTGGAATCTAGACCTTGGGTCTCCCCAGTGCCCTCCTAACTTCCTCATCAGGTCCCCTCATTTTTATCTCCTTGCTATGTCTTGGGTTCGCCGCCCCCCTGCCTTCCATCACGCTTCCACAGCCTGAACCACTGCAGACTGGAGCAAACCTCCAACCTCCTGGGCAGGGCCTCCAGAAGGACCCCATCAAAACACACACTCTATCACCCCTCTGCCCAAGAACTTCAGGTGGCTCCTGACTGCCTGGAGCACCGTGTCCTACAGGCTCAGCATCCAAAGTCCTTTAGCATTCAGTTGGACCAGACCTGCCAGCCCCCCACAGCCCCACATCCCCTTCCTTTGTTCTTCCACATCTTTGCAGACATCCTCTTTCCCTAGTGAACGCCTCTGCATCCTATGAGACCCCAGGCACACATCACCATCCTCATTTCCGGGTGGGTCTTTGGGAGGGTGGGAGGGGGAGGTCATGGCCTCATCTTTGGGCAGACTGACTCAAATGGTCAGTCCCATGTGGGAGGGTTAGGCTGCCCAGAACCCACCTGTGCTGTTGTTAGGGCCTGGGCACACACCGACCGACAGACCACAGACTAGGGAGGGGAGGAAGGGAGGGAGGCTGGAAAGATTTAGAAGCAGACCCACGGGAAATGGAGCAACAAGGCTCCATCCTGCCCACGCACGATGTGTGGGGATAAGCCCAGACCCTACCTGCAGGACGTCTCTCGGAAGGAGATGTTCACGTCCCAGTGGGTGTGGACTCTGCAAGGAAAGAAGCGGAGGGTCAAAGTGGCCTCCAGGATCTGGTACCTGAACAGCAGGGTGTGTGTATGGCATAGCCCTCATCTTCCCCAGAGCGCTGGCCCCAGGGAACTGGGTTGGCTCGGATTTGTCTCCGGTGCTATCTGGTACCAGCTCAACCAGCCAGTGGCTGCCACCAGGATAGGACCGTGGGGCAGGAGCCGACTCCTGGTCTCACCAGACAAAGGAATTGGGAAGGACAGAAATGAGGCTGCCACACCTGTCCTTCTTGTTGCAGCGAACCCAGGAGAGCTGCCACATTGTGCTGAGGGCGGGGATGGGGAGGGGAGCTGCAGCCTCTTCTGCGATCAGCCATGCAACTGAACCAAATTCCTGGTTGCTAGAGCTGCTCCAGCCAGGCTGGAACAGGTCAGGGAGCAAGCCCCATGGCCGCTGCCGGCACCAATGGTCCAGAGTCAGCCCAGGTGGGTGCAGCTTCCTGGGTCCCAGCTGCTACCAGTCTGCCTCCTGAAAGCGACCACCGCACTTGTAGGTAGGAGGGATGCCAAAACGAGAGGTCAAGTAAGGAAACAGCTCTGCCAGCTGCCTGTCCCCTCACTCATAGCAGTGTTCCCAGAAAGACCCTCAGGCTGAGGGATGGTGGTTGGAAGCCTGTGTGGGTGTGTCACCTTAGCAAGCGTGGGTAGGAGGGCTGGGAAGTGGGGGTGTTGGGGGTTTGGGAGGGTTATTTTAGGGCAGGAGATGTTGGAACACGTTGAAAGACTAGGTGGGAAGAGAAAAGGCCTAGAAACTCTGGGGGTGAGTAGCATGTGCTGGATGGACAGACAAATGAATGGACCGACGACAGATAGATGGAGGCATGAAGAGGTGAGTGGACAGTGGGAGGTGTCTCTGCCAGGAGAGGAGATGGTGGGAAGTCAGGAAGAGTGGCCCCAAGCCTGGAAGGGACAGTGGGTAGCCAGGAAAGCTGCCTCCTGCCAAGGAGAATGAGCCTGAGAGTTTCAGGGACAGCTCCGGGAAGGGGGCTGCTCAGCTCCTTTCTCTCCGCCTGGCTGTGGTGGTATCAGGCCCTCCCTTGCTGGGTCTCCCTGACTGCCCTCCTCCGAGAGCCCCTGGCCCTTCCTAGAGCCTCCTTCCTTCCCCACATGGAACCTCGTCGACCGCCTCCCTCCAAGTGGGGGCAGGGTAGGTTCTCACTATGGTCTTGTGGCGTCAGGGGTTCAGGCTGTTTCAGCTTCGGCAGACATGACAAGCTCAACCTGGGCCCTGTCCCCAGGGCAAAGGGTCCTCGCCCTGGCCTGGCCTTCAGCTACCTGGAGACACCAGTCTTGATGTCCCGACCAGAGCCCGGGTGCCTCCCCCGAGCCTGGCCCCCAGTAAAAGTGCCTTCTCCTCATGAGAGGGACATGTGGGGTGTCCTCCTGTTTCAAGCCTGGTTGCCGCCCACAGGCTGGGCCACTCCCATCGCTGTCACCATCACGGGACGAGAAGCTGGGGGTCAGCTCCTTCTTTAGGACCCGTGCAGTGGGCAGGGCAACTGTCCTCTTGTCTGCCAGCCGCCCCCGGTTCTGGGTAGGGAGGGAAGAGAGGAAGGTTAGGCTGAGCCAGGACCCTCAGGGTCCTGGGAGCTGTGCACTCCAGGCCCAAGCCTCAGGCAGGGTGCAGGTGACGGAAGCCCTCAGAGCAGCTGCTAAGATCAAATAGGCACCATCCCTGGCCCCGCTACAGGGCTTCTAGCCCACAGGACAGGCCCGAGGGTCCACATGGGTCCCAGTGGCTGGAGCTGAAGACAAGAGCAGAAAGATGAGGCCTGGGTCTGCCAACGGGGAGCGGGGTGCAGTGAAGGGCTGTAGGCCCTGGCCAGGCTCCTCGTGACACTGCCTTGTCCAGACTCTGCACTCTAGCCGGAGTGTGGGGGTGCCCACCCGGAGGCAGACCCCAGCTTTCTCGGCCCCAGGGAGCCCCAGGGACCACGTGTGCACAACACAGCATGTCTGCATTCTGCCACGTGTTCAACGTGCAGGTACCTCTGTGTGCTTGTGTCTGCTGGACCGTCCCACAAGCTCCTGCATGAACCCCCAGCCACTGCCAAGTCCTGTCTTCTATTCTGCTAGTGCCACGCAGGGTCCAGTTCAGGGTTGTTTGGAGCCTGAGTCTGGGGCCTGATCCTGCTGACCCCTTGCAAACTGCAGGCCCGGGGTTCACAGGTCACTTGATGGGGAGCCCTTACCAACCTAGACCCTTTGTCCCATGGGCCCCTAGTGAGCCTGCCCTCTGAGTCAGAAACAGAGATTCCATTTCTTCCACAACACCTCCTTCTCCCCTCCCTACACCCATGTTGTGAGGATGTGGAGCTCATGTGTGTGCTGTGGGCTGGGAGATCAGAGCAGGAAGGCATGTCCTGTGCACAGACATGGAGGGTACTCCACACCGAGCTTGTCCATGCTCAGAGCACACTATACAAGGTCACTATACACCAAGGCTCCCTACAGTGTCCTTAGGTCCTGCTGCCCCAGTGGAAGAAGAAAAGTTACTGATTATTTTCGGGTGGGCAGGAACCCTTTTCTTATTTAATAAGGGGTTGCTGTTTCAGGGGGGTGGCAGGGACCTTGGGATTATCTAATTCTCTCTCATCTCTTCAGTCACCTGGGGACCCTCGGACATCCTCTTTCCTGTTGCAAGGACAATGCCCTCATACCCACGAGCTTGAGGAGGAAAGTGTGGAGGAGGGTCTCGCCTCACCCTGGACCCGTGTCATCCTGGACCTGCAGGACTGCTAAGCAGCCACCATCGTCCTGCCCTCCAGAATAAGGGACCTTCCCTTCAGACCCAGCCCACCCCAGCTCCAGATTTGGTCAGTGGCCCCAACAGGGTCAGGGGGCCCTAGTCTTCTCCCCTCGCTTGGTCTGGGGACCACAGTTGCCCCCCTCTCCAGGCCCCCCACCGCGAGCCACAGTCTCCCCCATACTTGCCCTTATGAATCCACTTGGGACACCCTCCGTATTCCTCTCTGCAACATACTCAGTGAGAGACCCTGGACAGCACTGGGGCCGGGTGGGAGTCTGAGGGTAGGGCTGAGAGATGAAATGGCCTGCTTTGTGGCCCCTTCTGAGACCCTGGCCTTGGCCCTGTGCTCTAACAGCAAGAGCAGAGAGTGGTTGAGCCGCAGGTGCGAGGGCCTGTCTGGTCCAGCTATTGGGCGCCAAGGGCAGTGTTTTCAACAACCGCTGGCCTGTCTGAAGTGTGCACTGCTGGGAAGTCCCACTCCGGTCTGCCCTTCTCTAGCCTGTGGCCCAAGCACCAGGACCTCCTCTCCTGTCTTTCTGCTTTAATTGAACTATTCTCTTAAGAAGAAAAGGAAATGCATTTCCCTCTGCTTCTCATCTGTAGGGCGAGGAGGAGAGGAAAATGAGGGCAGTAATACCGCCACTTGGGATGAGGCCAGACCAGCTATGCTGGCCTGCGGTGGCTCTTGGAGGTGCTCCTGTGGGAGGGGAGCTGAGGAAGAGGGACCAGGATGGGCAGCCCTGACCCCGACCAAGGACAGGGAGCATACTTTCCTCCTACGCACACCCAAGACCTCAGCCACTCACCCCTGCTCAGCAGCGCACAGATTTGAAAACTCTGTGACAAACCTCTGTTGCTAGTCAACCATTGGCGCCTCAGAACACAAGGAGGGGAACAGGAAAGCCATCTTGCATGTCTGCATGATCCCTGCACCAAATATGCACACCCACATTGTGCCCCTGGGGTATCTGTGGCTGTGAGGTGTGTATGTACCTTCGGGCCTGGCTGTGGGGGATGGAGGAAGACCATCTCTATGTGGCGAAAGCGGGGCTGGAAAGACAAGGGGGTCTGTGTAGCTCCTTCCTAAGGGAAGGGTACAGGGATGGGCCTGGGAGGGACCAGGTTCAGGAGAGGCAGGCCCAGGTCTGAGGCATCCCTCATGCAGGACAGGGACCCGGGAGCCCCAGACAGGTAGGCAGTTCGAGGTCGTGGCCTCATCCCTGCCAGACCTCCCCACCCCTCTCCAATCCAAGCAATGTCCCCGGGAAATTGATACTGGGCTCAGGCCACCTGAACCCCACACTCGTGTGAGAGACCTCTGGAAGGGTGGGTTAAGACAGGCTGGGATCCTCCAACCCGAACAGAAACCCCAGGCTAGCCTTGAGGGTGCCCAGAAGACTCTTCTCCAGTACCAGCTGCTTGAAAAGGTGCGTTAAGTGGAGCGGGAGCTCAGCTTCTTGCCCCAGGCAGGTACCGTAGTAGCAGGTAAGAGGTGGGCTGCCTGTGCGCACATACTCTGACCACGAGCTCATGGCAGACAGGTGTGTGGGGTAGGCACACAGGAGAGGCATGGCTGTATCTCCGTCCCCCTGTCCAACTTGTGTGTCTGATCTGGTGTCTGTATTCACAGGTGTGTTTGTGGCTTCCCCGCCTGCTCAGGTTACCCGCCTCCAGGGTCCATGAGGAAACCAAAACATCCCTTCCTCCTTCCTACTTCCAGTCCAAAGTAAAGAAGCTGAAGGTGGTGTCCTGGGTCCTCTCTCACCCCTTCCTGTGTGGGGGGCTGCAGACGCCAGCAATAACAGCACAATCCCAACCACCACCAGCAGCCAGGGCCCTAACCAGCTCTCCCCGAGCAGCTCAAAATTGGTTCCTCTCAAGATGCAATTTCTTCTTCAGATCAGTCCTCCAACTATGGCTGCCTGGAGGACATAGGATGTGGAAGACAGTGCTTCAGGGGCAGGCCCAGCACCCCAATCTCTGCTGCTCCCCTAGGCCAAAGAGGGCGTCAATACATGTCTACACTGGGTTGGGGGTCCCACATCAGCCTCCACCTCCAGATCTTGACACCAAAGGCCCACACTGCTCAGATTCTGCCCCCAACTGGGTTGTATCCTCAGACTCTCCTGGACATCCAGGGCCTTGCCCAGCAGGGTTCTAGCTTTTGGCATCCCAGAGACACATGTTACTCACCTCCAAGCTGTGACCACCCCAGAATGTACATCCAGGCCAGCCAACAGTGTCACATCCCAGAACAAGTGTTACCTTAGGACCAGCCCCTCTCCCAAGCCAGGCCAGCTGACACAGTGACACCCCCACCCCCACCCCAGACCTGTGACAGGGCAGGGTCCCAGGCCCCAGGTGGATGGCACTGTCCAGGGAGGAGACCTTTACAGCCTAGGCTGTCCCCAAGACCTGAGAAGCAGCAGCTCCAAGGCTCCCAAGGAGAGGCTCCAGGATAGGGAATGGTCAGGTCCTGCATCCAAAGAGCGGAGGGCTGCCCCAGGATTCCCACCCAAAGCGAAGTCTCCCCTATTTGCCCCTGCAGGGGCTCACTCCTGCACACTGGCAGGGTTGAGGTTAGGACTCTGGATCCTAGAGAACAGGCACAAGCTCCACAGGGGAGAAGGAAGACCCAAAGCCCCAACTTTTCTCCCCCATCTCACCACCGGGGAGGATATTCGACAGCCCGGACAGTCGCAGATCGGAGGGTGCACCTGCAGAATCCCCTTGGACATAAGCGTCTTCAGACTTTTTCCTGTGAGGAGAGCCGAGGCAGGACCGGTGAGAGAGCAGGGCTGGGGCACAGGTAGAGCCGGCACGCACGGGCGCGCTTTCGGGGCGCAGTAAGCTGCACCGCCGGTTCCCCCTCCTGGCACGTGTATGAACATCCAACTTCCGAACCCGCTCCCTGGCCCTGCCGCCCACCACACCCTCGCGGACGCCGCGGGGATCTGCGGGGCTCAGAAACTCAAGATCCCGGCAAGCGCCGGCCCCTGACCAAGGGCGGCCTCCTCCACGCCACCTGCGTCCCTCCTCCCGCTCTCCACCCTCTCTCCAAGCCGGTCCGGGGGAACTGGGAACAGGGTTCACGAAGGTCGAGCCTGCGCGCAGGTGAGCGGCGCCGCCGGGACCAGGGCTGTGTCTGAGCCCTCAGCGGGAGGAGGGCGGCCACAGCAGAGCCGCGAGCCTCAAAGCCCAGCGCGACTGGGTCCCCAACTTTCTAAGGATCCCCCACCCCCGCCCCTGTCGCTCGCTGCGCTTCCCCCGTTTGCCTGCTCCGGCGCCCTCGCAACGCGCCCTCGGAGCCAGACTCCTGAATGCTCCCAGCCCCGCCGCCGTTCCAGCTCCGCGCGCGCCCCCGCCCCGACGCGCGCCCCCGCAGCCCCCACCTGCCTACGACACCCCTCCACCTTCCCTTGCCTTCCAGCAACTCGCACCCGCACCCCGGCCGCCCGTGGGCCCCTCTACTCCCGCTGGAACCTGGTGGCTCCCCGACCCGGGAGGGAAGTGGGGTCCCGCCCAGCCGGCCTCCCGCCGTCTCCCGAGTTCCCCTAAACTTCCCCTGGGCCACACAGCCCAGGAATCCCGCAAAGACCTTCCGAGTGGGAGGAGGGGCCGGCTCGTGTGCAGTCGGGAGCCCAGAGCACCGCGGCTCAAGCTGAGGTGGCGGTGGAGGCCGAGGGCGCTCTGCTCGGGTCCACCAAGGCGACCGTGCTGGGGGCGGTGGGGGGGGGGGGAGTGTCCCTGCGGCAGCCCCAGAGTCGCAGCGCCCTCTCCGCGCGGAGATGGAGTCTCCCAGGTGGCAGAATGAGGGGGTCCGGACCCAGGGGTCCTCGGGGAGCAGAGGGGAGGGACCGTAGCGGCCTGCGCCCCCGCCGCGGCCGCACCTTTGTGGCGGATGCTGCGCTTCCAGTCCTTGGCCGTCTCTCGGCCGCTGACGAACTGGAACTCGTTGGGTGTGCGCCACTCGCCGCGGTGGCGGATGGACGGACCCTTGCTGCCTCGGCAGAGTTTGCGCACGGAGAGCAGCGCGCGGTGGGCGCCGCGCTCCACCTCGATGCCCCGCTCGCCCTTGTCCAGCAGCGGCTGGAAATCCGGGGCCGCGGCCGCAGTGGCTGAGACGCGTTCGAGGGCCAGAGGGCCCCGGGGCAGGTGGAGGTGCGGGGCGGCCTCGTGCAGGCTCAGGTAGGCGCGCGGGGAGCGGAGTGGTGGAGCCCACAGCGCCTCGTAGCCAGCGGTCGCGGCGGGCAGCGAGGCGGCCGGGGGCAGGGCGGCCGCGGCTGGCAGCGGTGTCGGGTAGCCTGGGAGCGGCGGCAGTGGCAGTGCGGCCAGGGTCGGATGGAAGGTGGCCAGAGCCAGGGCCAGGTCTTCGCGGCCTGGGAGCTCCTTCTTGACCGCTGGCGTGACGGGCCGGTGGCCTTGTAGCCTGGCTCTCCGCCGCCGGCGCCACTTGCTCGGGCCTGGGCTGGCGTTGGGTCTCGAGGGCGGGGGGCCCGGGAGTCTCCCGGCCGCGCGCCCGCCCTACCCGCTACTGCGCCCCGGCACCTGCGGCCGCGCCGCCCGCCGGGCCACCACGGGCCGCTTCTCGGCCGGCTGCCGGGGCCTCGGCTGCCCGAGACATGGTGCTGCGGGAGCTCCTCTCGATCCCCTATCGACCTGCCCAGCGCCGCAGCCCCGGGGCCCCAGGGCTCCACAGGGCCCCGGGCCACCTGCGCCCGCGCCCCCTGGGGCGCCCCGCTCGCTGGTCCGCCCGCAGGGCCCAGCCGGGCAGTGGAGTCCAGAAGTCTCCGGCCCTGCGCCCCGCCCCGCCCGGGGGTCCCAGGCCCCAGCCCCGCCTCGCCGCCCCGCCGCCCCGGCCGCGCACCCGCGTACACTGGGGCGCGCCCGCCCGGCAGGGACTTGGGAGACTCCCGCCGCCGCCGCCGCCGCCGCCGCCACAACGTGGCCTATTTAAACGGCCCCGGCTCGGCGGGCGGGCGGGCGCGGGCTCCAGCAGGGGGTGCGTGACGCCCGACTGGGCTCACACGGCTGGCGGCGGGGGCGGTGGGACAGGGCTGCGCCCCTGCCCTATTTCCAAGCGCGCGAGGGTGTGCGAAGGAGCGTATGCTAGGGAGAAGCTGCGCGCACCCACCGCGCCATTGTTGAGGGAGTCATGGGGCGCCGCTGGGAGTCCAGGACTACACTTGGGGAGGGGGCGGGCCCAGGACCGAGAGTGGGCTCCTGGCGCAGCATGGATCTGTGATTAGGAGCGGCCCGCTGGCCTGGCGGTTCTGGGTAGGAGTGTTTTCACAGCGGCGGTGGGTGGTGGGCATCAGTGTCGGGCGTGGGTGGTCTCCTCTGCATCTGCAGGGTGTGAGGCTGTGGGTTTGTGGTGTGTGGCCTCTGCAAATGTGTTGGGGAGGTTTCATGTTCTGTGAACAACATGACAACGATGCTGTCAATTACCGCTGCCTTACTACTCTGCACTTTACATGCCTTAGTTCACTTGATCATCTCAATATGAGTTTTCCTCATTATTCTCATTTTATAGATGAGGAGGGTGAGACACAGAGAGGTCAAGTAACTCTCCTGATGTCATACAGCTGTTTTAAATCCAGGCTCTCTGACTCCAGGACAAACAATATCTGAGCCATGCTGTGGGGCAGGAAGGTGGGCTAGACGCAGTCTGGTTGAGGGATGGAAGATGTGGGGAGGAAGAGGGGCTGATGAGTGCGAGATTGCACACTTGAGCACATTTCTGTTCCCTAGTATGAGTCAGTCTGGGGAAGAGGAACCCTCTACACTCATGTCCACTTTGGTGCCTTGAGGAAGCAGGTCAGCCTTGGCCCAGTCCTGGCATGAGGGTGGCTTGTCCCTTGGTGTTCAACTCCCATCTCCCTGCAGGCCAGCATGCCAGCCTTGCAGTAGAAGCATTAGGAAGAGAAACAGAAACCTACTAATAGCTGATGAGACAGGTTTGTCTTTCTCTGATGTGTTATTCTGAACAAGCTAGAAAGTAGCCTCAGATCCCATCCCAGCGCCTAGACACCCACTGAGATGCATTTGGCACGGCATTTTTGTGGGCATCTCTCTGACCAGGCTCTGGGGGGTTGAGCTGGACCACAGGCGTGCTTGCATGAGCACCTTGTGCAAGGGAGTGATGGAAGTGAGGGAGCACCCCACCCTCACCCACCTCCTCCCAGGCACCTGCACCAGCTGGGCATGAGCCTGACCACTGGCTCCTGCTCTGCTCTCCCTTGCTGATGCACACTGCCAAGTTCATCTACAACCGAGGCACCAGCCAGCCCCAAGACTGACTTGGGGAGCAAGGTCTGGGCTGAGACCAGGAACGTGTCTGGGAACCTATGCACCCAAACCTCTGTATCCCCCTTCTGCTCTACTCTTTGTCCATCTGCCTGCTGGGATTGAAGGGGCCAGGTGTGAATGTGGGTGTGAAAGTGAGTGGTCCTATATGGTGTGCCACCCTCAGCCCAGTTGCCCTCCGTGCAAACTGGACACCTGCACATGCCTGAGCCTAGGTGCACACTCACCTTCTGTGGTCCGCGTCTTGCTCTCAGGTGTGCTGCCTGCATGTCTAATGGATGCAGGAGGCTGTTCCTGCCCAAGAGCCAAGGCCCACAGAGGAGCCATCATGCTAATCTGTGGTCATGGCACAGTGTGGAGAGGTTATCAGGGCTCAGCGTGAGGCCAACTGTCTGGCTACAGCCCTGACACTGCTTTCAAGAGATGGTCCCCTCCACTCAGTTCTTCTCATGTTTGCCTGCACCTATTCACTGACCCTTAGGCCTCCTAACCCCTGACCTTTAAACTGAGGTTTGGGGAGGGAAGGCTAGTGCAGTTTATCTCTAGATCTGAGAAGGTACCATGTGGCCTGTGGAGGGGGCCTCCCTTCCCTTCTGCAGGACCACCCTTGACTCACCCCTGACTCCTTTCATCCTGAACAGGCCCACAGTGGTGAAGGAGGGGCAAAGAAGGCCCCAACTCTGGCTTTCGGAAGTGGAACCCAGCTGGCAAGGTAAGGGGGCTAAACTAACCTAGCTCACCCAGCCTAACCTCCATGCTACTATCTGGTTCCACCTCTCTCTGGAGGATCAAGGGGCTTCCTAAAATGACCATGACTGGGTTCAAAGCTCCCTGCAGGACCCCTTCTCCTCCAAGGGCCACACCCTGACTTTCAGGAGACCCCCTTCTAGGGCTTTGGCTGATCAGTTCACCCCTACCCCCACCCCTACCTGTTTCCCACTCTTCATGGGAAGTAGACCTCTCTGCCCACAGGATCAGAGCCACTTTCCCACAGGGATCAGGCATCCTTACTCCTGGGCATTCTACCCCTGCCACAAGGATCTGCTCACTTTCTTCCTCCTGTCCACCTGTGTCCTGGTTTGGCACCTGCTCTGCGCTTCTGACTGGAGCCAGAGGTCAGAAGGACAGAATTTTGGCTCTAGAATCTCCCCCCGCCTGGAGTTCAGGCCTGGGGGCACCTTCCTTGGGAAACGTCGGTGGGAGCGGCTGCCCAAACCCCTCCTCCGGCCCTCAGAGGCCCCGCCCCTGCCTTCCTCGCGGCCAAGGCGGCGCCCTCGCTGCTCGCGGTCCCCCCGCTGGGGGCCCTCTGCCGCTGGGCCGAGGCCAGAGCCCCCGCCGCCGCCGCCGCCGCCAGGGAGGGGGAGGGGGTCATAAATAACCCGCGGGGCGGCGCAGCCCGGGCGGTGCAGACGGTGACCCGAGGCGTCCCCGGGGAGCGCGCGGGGGCGGCCCGCAGACCCTGCTGCCCCCAACCCAGGCTCGGCCAGCCTTGACCGCCTCTTCTGGAGCTCTCTGACCCAGTCCACGACTGGCGCTCCTGCCAGTAGCCTCCCTCCCATCCTGGAGTGCCTGCCTACCCCCATCTCCAGACTGTGCCCCTTAGAGCCCCTTTTCATCCCTTCCTTCACCAGTCATTTATTGAGCACCAGATGTGCAGCCCCAGGGAGAGGGATCCAGAGGTGAGGCTGGGAGATGCAGAGGAAAGCAGTGTGTCTCTGGATCTCAGGTGCATCCTTGGGCCTGCTCCCTCAGCCTAGTCTTCCTGAGCTCATCCAGGGTGACTGTCAGGGTGGGAGAGCAGGCCCAGACATGCCAGGCACGGGAAGGCATGCAGGGACAGACCACACAGGTGTGAGCACAGCTGACACGTCTCTGAGGAAGTACATCCTTGTGTACACATCCGTGTCCTCAGGCAAGCACCCGAAGCCCGCAACAGATACATACGACAGGGTACATTCTCAAAAGCGCAGGCGCAGGACAGGGGCTTGCACGGATGCTGACATCTTGACCACACACGTGCACGGACAGTGTATGCGTTCACTTACAGCACAGCCAGAGGAAGGACACCAAGACCTGTGCAAAAACATCCATAGACACACAGGCCTGCACCATGGGCTCCATTTGGATACAGCTGTCATATCTAAGACAGCATGGCTGGGGCAAGGGTCTGGTTTAGGAAGGGTTAACCTGTGAGGTCAAAGGTCAGTGGTGAGTCAGCTGGGGTTCCCCCAGACTCCCTGCAAGAGTGGCCGGAGCTTCCCTCCGGGAGAAATGTGTCTGTTTCCAGCTGTAGGTCAGACACAGGAAGGGCTGCCCTGCGAGGACATGCCTTACCTTTGGCCAGTCCCGAGCTGGTGGCAGGCCATGCCGTCTCCGTCTCAGGAGTAGAGATGTTTCCGAGCCCAGTCTGTTCACTGACCTTAACATATGCCATTTAAAGGAGAAAGAGATAGGACCTAGGGTCAACCTTATGTTCTCCCGTGGGTGTGCAGACTTGGGGCACCCACAGGGCACACGCTGCCGGAGAGCACCGGTTACACGATACTCACCTGCTGTGTTACACAGAAGTTGGGACACACACACACTTTCTCAGACACCAATACAAGGACACAAATGAGCTCAACACACAGGGTGCGCTGGGTACACTGATGTCGTACAGAGGAAGTTGCTGGTCTGGCAACATGGGTCGGAGTCTGGCTACCACTGGCTCTGCTTGCTTGGCCCCTCTTGAGGAGGGACGAAGACACCCACTTGCTGGCATCACTGGGGACAGAGAGCAGCACCTGCCCCAGAGCAGCCTGCCGGGGGCTGTGGACCCTTCTTGGCCCGGGTTATGCTGAGGTAGGCTGACACAGGTGGTAAGGACGGCAGACTCTGCAGGGGCCTGAGATTTGGGTCCTCCTGGCTAGCCACTGAATGACCCAGTCTTCTCTGCCCTTCTTTGGACCTTAGTTTCTCCATCTGAAAAATGAGATAGGGGCTCAAAATCTGTGGGTTCCCTTTGGCTCAGAGGAGAGCAGTCAGGGTAAGATGTGGCTACATGTGCCCTGGTCAGCACGGTGAGGCAGGCCTGGCACACCCTAGATGCTTTCTCCATAAATGGGCCCAGAGTGCAGGACCTGGGGGGTCCACTCCAAGGTAGGGCCAAGTAAAGGGCAGGAGCAGAGTCTTCCAGGGCCCCTAGGGACAAAAGAATCTATCCCAGTGAAGGGCATGAGGGCTGGTGTCACCCCTTTCTCTCCCTGTCGACATTGCCAGCCTACTGCCTGGACATGGCTTGGGGTGGAAACGGGGTTGGGGGGACCCCCGGACGCAGCTGGTGCCCTGCTGGGTGGATGTGGGTGCCAAAGCCCCACGTGGTCCTCATCCCTCATGGCACAAGCCTCTGCAGCACCAGTCACCCCCTCTTTCAGATGTCAGGTCAGGGAGATGACCAGAGTGGAGTAGTAGAGCTGGGTGCAGCACGCAGACTCAGCTCCAGTCCCATTACACCCCTACGTCCCAGGAATGTGCCAGCAGGGGCTGAGTGTGAGAGACGAGGAGACCCTTACCTGAGAGAGTAGGGTTTCCTGTGTGCTCGTGTGTGTCCATACTGTGTGCTTATATGTGAATGTGCTTCCCTCCTCCTGTGACCACAGTCTTGCTGTCCACATCAGCTCATAGTCAGCGTAGATCCCACATGAAGGCCTTAGGGACCCACGCTCCTCATTGTGGGGGTATAGGCCCTGGAGGGTCAATCCCAACTCGGCTGGTCACATGTGTACTCTTTGCATGGTCAGCTGTCTTGGCCTGGGCAGACCTGTGACCACAGTCCTGATAGAGACATTAGGATGTGCTGTCCTCAGAGTCGTAGGGCAGCGGTCAGGCTCCCATGGGGGGGAGTGGGTACTGGGGGAGGAGTGGGCTTGGATGTGGGAGGGTCCTTGGAGTTGAGCATGATGAGCATGATGGGGCAGAATGGGCTCCCGTGGGCTCTCTGCCAGGACTGCCAGGTGGAAGTTGAAGGAGAAGAGGGGACATTCAGGTGGGGACCCTCAGCACAGAAAGCCTGGAGGCAGAGGGAAACTGGAGGTGAGAGGTCAGTTGGTGGAGGGCTAGGAGGGTGGGAGGCTACAGCTGCTGTCTCCAGGCCCAGCTCCGAAAGACTCCCAGGCTGCACAGGGAGTCCAGACTGGCTCTGGGAGCAACTGTTAATACGTTGGACTTCCTGCAGAGTGTGAGCTACCTATGAGCAGGACTTTTGTTTTCTGACATACCCCCGTGTCAGCATTTGAGGGCTGCATACAGGGGTCCATCCTGGTGTGGCCCACTCAGCCCGGCTTGGCCTCCCTGCCCTGGGGAAGCCCCATCCCTGCTCACCTCTTCTCCCAGCACCTGTCCACTGGGCTTCTGCCCAGGCAGGACTCTGAATACCCTCCTGTCCCCAGAAGATTCTCAAGAGTTTGGCCACAGGCATCCTCTTCATCAGAGAGAGAGAGAGAGTTCTCAAGCCTCTTGGCAAGGCCTCAGCCACTATGCTGCAGCAGGATTGCAACTCTGCGCCTGCCTGCGCTGGGAGGAGGGGTGGTCTGGGTGTACCTCACACACAGTCCCACCGTCAGGGCCACCAGGAAGACCAACAGTCACTTTGACAGCATGGATTTGTCGCCTCAAGAAGTAGCAAGCCGAGGTGGTCAGTGAATTCACGATTTCACGAGTCCAGCCCAGGCTGGCTGTTTGAGGTCATCGACTTAGCCTGACCCCACCCAAGGCCCGGTCCTCCTTGCCAGTGGGCCCATCCCTCCAAGGGCTGGTTGAGTTGGTGACATCCCTGTGGGGTGCCCCGAATGCATTGACATCTGTGAGTGCCTGTCTGGGTGTGAGTTTCCTTTATTTTTATTATTTTTAAAGATTTACTTATTTGGTGGGGGGAGGGACAGACAGAGAGGGAGAGGGGAAGCAGACTCCATGCTGAGTGGGGAGCACAATGCGGGTGCCCAATCTCATGACCCTGAGATCCACCTGAGCCGAAACCAAGAATCAGACACTCAACCAACTGAGCCACCCAGGCACCCCTGGGTGTGAGGGTTCCTTTATTACTGCAACCCACTAAGTCCTCCATGGGGTCAACTCACCTTCTGCGTGGAGTGGCCCCGCACACTGTGCCATGAGAACAGGAACTCTGTGATGCCCAACCGTGTGAAGTTATGCACGGTGCCCCAGGTGCAGTCTCAGAAGTGGGTAGGCTGAAGAGCACAGCCTGGTACGGGCTGAGACCCTGAGCAGAGCCCATCGGCAGAGGCCAGACCCACACCTACCTCCGGCAGGGGAGGGGCAGCGATTCCAGGGCTCTGTCCAAGGCCACAACCTGGCACTTTCTCCGGGGCATTTAATAGTCCCAGGTTGGCCTTGGGGGCCTTCCCACCTGCAGACTGGCTGGGCTGCTTGGGGGCCTGGGGGAAGTGGGAGCAGAAGAGGCAACCGGAGGGACTGGGGCTGGTCTGAGGGGGTTTTACCTCTGCATAGAGGAATATGGGCATCCCCAAATGTGGAGTCCTCATGCCCTGCTCAGAACAAAGGATCCTGACCTTTGATGCTCTGTGTACATGCAGATGCTAACAGAGGTCAGCGTGCTATAGACCCCTCCCAGGAGAACAGACATACCATTCTTCCAGACTGGGTGGCCTTGCCAAAATATGAGTCTGCCACATGTTAGCAGTTGAGTAACTGTGTGTCTAAGGTCCAGCAGGTATATGTGGGCTCCTGAGTTCCTGGGGCCTCAGAGACGTGACAGGGTGATTCATGACTGGTGAGGGGCAAAGCCAGAACTCCTGCTGGGTTATCCCATCTTCCATCCAGGAACATGGTCCTCAGCGAATTGTCAGCTTCTGCTTGATAGCGTGATTTTGGCCTCAATACATTGGGATTTTTCTTAGTGCTTCTAGTTGACGCCTTGCTATGTATTAGATGAGCTTCACTCATGGGCACATGCCCTGAGACCATCCCCTCAGATCAGCCTCGCCTCTCATTCCTGCCTCACCCACCCCTCAAACATAGGCTGGGTTGAGGGGTAGATGGGTGGGGGGATGGACTGACGGGTGAATGAGTGGATGATGGGTGACTGGGTAAGTGGGTGGGTTCTACACTAGGCACTCTTCTCTTTCATAAGACTTCTGTGGTTTCCTTTACAGACTATGAACCTGAGTCTCTAGCTTCAGTCCAGACACTTAAGATAAGCAGGTGGGAACAGGGCCAACATCACCACCAGGCACAGAGAGCATAGAACCTGGATCCCTGGTGCTTTTAGAGACGACAAAGACATTTTACTTTAATTTCCCTTAAAACCAGAAAGAAGAAAATAATATAATAGCCTGCCCTGTGCATCCACCCCACAGCCCCCTGAGTCTTTTTCCTACCGCCATGCTGCCATCCCCATCTCGCTCGCAGTCCCTCAGAGAGCAGGCACCATACTCCTCCCCATTAGCCAATCAGCAAACCTCATATGTGCTCCCTTCTAGATCCCTTTCCTTCAAATACCTAGTCTGGCCCCTCTCACCTATGATATTTCTGTGATACTCCCAGACTCTGCCCCCACTCATCCAGTACCTGATGGGCACATCTGGCCAACTTGCTCTCCAGGGGCTCCTTTGGGAACAGTCTGGGACCCTTGGCCTCCAGGCCTTGCCTCCGCCCCTGGGCTCAACTTCCTGTTTCCCTGTCTTCTTCAGTGTCTGAGCATGGCTGAGTTGTTGCCTTTGCCCAGGAGCGTCACTCCCTAATATCACTATTCTGTGGCCTCGTTACCACTTGAGTAGCAACTTCTGCATTTGGGAGTCCTTTCCTCCATTGAAAAATTTTAAATTATATTTTATAACCCTATTGATATAAAGACAAATATAATCCATGGTAGATATATTATTTAATCTTCATTATTATTATATTATTTTTTTTCCTTCTGGTTTTAAGGGAAATTAAAGTAAAATGTCTTTGTCGTCTCTAAAGGCACCAGGGATCCAGGTTCTATGCTCTCTGTGCCTGGTGGTGATGTTGGCCCTGCTCCCACCTGCTTATCTTCAAGACTTACAGCAGCAACCCCTCCTCCAAGAAGCCTCCCTGGATTGCCTTCCTTTCCTGTCGGGGTGTCCTGCACCCCAGAACACCAGCACATACCCTGGACCCACAGGTTTCTTACTGTGTTGCTGAGGCCCTGGGCAGACGAGGGTGCTCAGAAGGGCCAAGTGGAGCCCCCCTGGGGATGCTGATTTGGGTGACTTCACTGAGAAGTGATTCTGGCAGGCTGGTACGGAAGCTGAGCTGGAAGTGGCAGTGGCAGAGGGAGGTGGTGTTGACAGAGACTGAGATTTTGAAGAAAGACCTGACCTCTAGGGAGGGGCAGGCAAGGCCAGCAGACATCACTCCCAGTTCTGGGTGAGTGGCAGGAGCCCAGGCCCAGAGTGGCCCTAGCTGCCAAGACCTCCCCATCTCTGCCTGTAGGGACTCTGCCTGTGTCTACACCTGCAAGTAAAGCTGGACCAGGCCATCACATCTCTGGAGCCGGGGGTTTGACTTCCCTCTTTCTGGGCCCCCCTCCTCCAGCCATTTTGCCCCCAGGGTTTCCAGGCAGGTCCAGCTGCTCCCCCCATCCCCCAACCCTACTCTGGCTCTGGCCAGGTTCTCAAAGGTCTACCAGGGAGGGTGGGGCACAGACATGCACATGCCTGGGTGCACACCGAGCCTCTGTCTTGACCCTTGAGTGCCCAGCCTGGGGATTGAGTAGTGGCCACTCAGATTGGTGATGTGGGGATGGGGGTCTAAGGGCATTTACAGCCCAGGTCCAGGGGATGACTAGGTTCCTGGTGCCTGCCCATGATGATAGGAAGCACTCAGATCCCTGGGCACCATCAGGCTGCTCTGAACATCACGGGGGGGTTCCAGAGCAGAGGACTCACCCCCCTCCCCCAATCCCAGTGCCTGCAGCATTGAGGCCAAGACTAATAAAACACCCACCTCCCAGGAGACAGCTTTATCTTGTTGATCGGAAGTCTGCCAGCCCAATTTATGATGGAACATAAGCTCTCCAAATCTGAATTTATGCTCTGTAGTATAACGAGAGGTCAATGGGATTAAAAGTGGGCTTGTGAGAGGGCCATAGGCAGCTCAGTCCTCCGCGCTGCCACAGGAACCTCATGGCCTGAGTCCCTGCACCCAAGGGAGGACAGCACAGCCCAGCAGCAGGACAGGAAAAGGGAGGGCAGGGGAGAGATCAGCCTGAGAAGGGGAAAGAGGATGGGAGGCCAGGCAGGAGAAGCGGACAGAGTGGGGCACGGAGCCTGGGGCTGCTGCTGGCCTGGACCATCAGTGTGACAAAGCAGGCCCTGGGGAAGAAGGGTAAAGACAGGTAGGGATCAGAGGCTTTCATGCAGGGACAGGGGAGCTTTCTCTCACCACCAAGCCCTGGGCTAGCCCCTGGCCCTGAGAACGGGTAGGAGATGGCCCTGAGGCAGGCTGAAGGACAGAGTTCCGACCCTGGCCCCGGGGCCCAGCCCAGTCAGACCAACCTCCCTGTCCCCCTCCTCGACACCCTCTGTCTTCAGCACCCCGTGGAGTCCTGGGTGAGGGTGAGAGAGGGGTGTGCTCTGTTTAGGTGGGGCCCTGCACACCCGTCTAGCATGAGACTGACTTTCTGAGCTCAGGCTAGACCCTGGCTTCAGAATTTATACAAATAAACGAAATGAGAAGTGCTGGCAGCCCTGATCTGATTACAGAGTCATTCATTCTTTGGTCGTTAATAATTTGTGCAATAAAGGGTTGCGGCCGCTCAGTGTGAGGAGGAGGCTGTGGCCCAGCCTTCCCTTGGCGCCGGGCCGCGGGAGCTGGAAACATAAATTATTAGTTTCTAATCGCTCAGCCTGCCATCGCTCATGCTGCCAGGAGCCTGGCAGGAGCCAGCGGCAATCCCACCGCCTGCCTTGGCCTGACTCTCAGCTGCCGTTTGTTGGGAGACTCTGGGTGAGGCCCCTCATCGCCCCCCCCCCAGCCCCTCACTGGTGGGACCCTGGGCCTTCAGGGTCTGCTTAGGGGCTGCAGCTGGCACTGAGGCCTATTCTGGAGCTAGGGGAGCTTTGGGGTTTTAGTTCTTGTGCTCTGAGCCTCAGGCCCTCCCTCTCTGTAAGTGAAGCCGAACCACTGGAGGTCGGTCAAGCAACCGCCCACTCCTGGCCCATGGTATTTGCTCAAAAAGGGCAGTGGTCATTGTGAGCAACACCACAGAGGTCCACAAACCGTTCTCCACCTTGGCCAAACCCCGGTCAAGGGAAAAGAAAGGTCTGTATCCGGGTGCGTGTCAGCTCCTCTTGGTATGAACATGCCTTCCTGGGTGGGACTCGGAGCAAGCGCCTGTCCCTGCAGGCATGGCCTTCACTCCCTGGCTCGCTTTGTTTTCCTGGGTCCAGCACTGGGCTCTTGGTCTGGTGGGCTGGCATAGAGCAAATAGTCTAGACAAGGGTGCTGATGGAGGTACCCGGTGCCCACGCTGCAGCAGGGTGGGGCCTGTTGGGGTGGCTGGGAGTGTGTGCTGTGCCCCTGAGCTGTGCTTCCGTATCCCCAGGTGGAGCTGCTGAGGTGTGCAGTGGTGGGGCTGGATGCAAAGCCTGCAGAGGAGTGTGCCAGCCAAGGCAGTGATTAAGGCAATTATGGTAATTACAGAAATGAGCACCCTCAGGCAGGGCTCCCAGCCTGTCCACTGTGGTTCCCTGTCTCTACCCACAACTTGGGGAGGCTGAGGCAAGGTTGGGAAATTGGGGTGGGGGGTCCAGACTCCAGATATCCTGGATGGAGGATGTGGAAGGACTCAGGGTGTGGGCACTGACATTTGCCTCTTCCCAGCTAATGTGCCTCCTGTCTTGGCTTGCTTCCTGGGAAACTGGTGTTACACCCCTAAGCCTACCTCAAACCCCCCAGGTTGGTGTGACCTGGTGGTTGGAGGCGTGCTGCACAGAGTGCCTGAGACTGAATGCCCAGGGCCCTGCACCTACCACTTCTCGGCTGCCTGGCCTTGGGAAGACCTTTAACCTCCCTGAGTTTCACTTTGTAAAATGGGAAGGAGACTTAAACAAAACAATTAATGTGTATCGAGCACCTGCTGTGTGCCAGGCATCCCAAGTCTGCAGGGTGGGGTGGAGACGGCTCATCCCAGCTGGGCAGTCGCCTGCAGGGTCTGGGTCTGAGCCCAAGTCCCCCTGGCAGAGATCCTGCTCTGTCCGCACCCAAGCAGTCCACCCCTTCCCAGAACTGACCTCTTCTCAGCAGCCTCAGAAGGTCCCCACCTAACACATTCAGCCTGTCCTCTGGCTTCTTGAACACCCAGAGACAGTTGTAGTGGGCCCTTTCATGCCCTGTGCTCTCACCCTGCCATCCCTGTCATTTCTGGGTCAGCATCAGGTGACTGGTTTTCTTTCTCATGGGTTGCATTTTCCTGCTTCCTTGCATGCCTGGTGATTTTTAATCCGGTGACTAGGATTGGGAACTTTGATGGGTGCTGACTATTTTCAAAAATATTCTTGTACTTTCCTCTGGACATCAGGAAGTCATTTGGAAGAAGTTTGGTCCCTTCAGGTCTTGCTCTTAAGCTTTGCTGGGAGAACTAGAGCAGCGTTTGGTCTAGGGATAATTTTGTCCCATTTTACTGTTGCAAGACCCAGTTGGTACTCCGCCCCAGTGAGGTGAGGTCTTCCAGGCTGACCGCTGGACCAAGCACTCTCCGCAGCCCTGTGTGAGCTCTGGGCAGGGCTCGCTGTGGCCCTCTCTGTGGTTTTCCCGGCCTCAAGCCCATTCCTCATGCTCTGCAGATCTCTAGGACTCTCTCCTCTCCCGTGCCCCCTCCTGCAGACTCTAGCTGCCTTGGCTTTCTAGGACTCCCAGCTCCATCTCTGCCCTTGGGGGGACCCTGGAACTGCTGGGTCCCCTCCCTGCACCACAGCTGGAAATGCTCAGGAAGTGAGCTGGGGCCTCTCAGGGACTCCCCCTCCTTCATCACCTGATGTCCAGTGTTTTGGGGGCCATGTTTTCTGTATTTTGTCTGGTGTTTGTGTTGTTTCTGGCAGGAGGGTAAGCCTAGCTGCTCTGTCTCGTCCAAGCATCTGCCCCATGAGTGTGCCTACAATGTGTTCCATAGCTGGTGCATATAAGAGGCTCTCAGTGAATGTTTTCCAAGCCTGCCTGGACTGCTTATGTGACCCATCTCCATGGCCCATACAGTCTGTAGCACGACAGACCCTTGGCCCCATCACTTGCTGACCTGCCACAGCCTGGTAAAGGCTGGGCCATCCTGAACTTCAGCCCAGGGAGGGCGCCTCAGAGGGGATTCTGTGGTCAGGGGCCGGGGGGCCACAGCTCCTTGAAGCTCTCCCAGCCTGGTATTCTG